CTGAAATAAGACCAGACATCTTGACAAATTTAAGAATAAAATGGCAGAGACAGCTCTTATGTTAAAATAGGTGGTTAAATGTGTCAAATTCAACCAAATTTAACCTTGTGTATTATTTTTAGACTCCAGCTTTCATTCAGCACAAGTAAAAGGGGGAATATCTCTTTAACTGCCCCACCAAGAAAAAAAAAAAAAAAATTGGATCGCATTTCTTAACTCCTAATGTTGCTATAGTTAACACACTCAATGCATTTTTGCACAGGGCACTTGACCAAACTCAATGCAACACATCCCATAATTTCTAAAATATCAACCTCTACCAAATAATGGATATGTCAGTTTATGTTTAAAGTATTGGAATTAATACATATACTATGAAAAATCAGAAAATATGAAGTGTAAGGTGACCAATTACCAATTTATTAAAAACATAATCAAAATAAAACATTTTTGAATGCTAAATCACCTGTATTTTTTGAAGTACGCCATAAAATATTTCAGATTCTCATTTAACACACTTTCTTGGTTTAATGCAACAGGATTATGTTTGTGATTTTTATTTTTTTTTTTTTTTTGGTAAACCAACAATGCTGTGTGTATAAAAGATTATTTAAAACAGTCATTCTTTAAATGACTCTAACAGATATTATTTAAAACACTAAAAACATGGTCAACCATTTGGTAGAGCAGGCAGTTAAAGGGATATAATTTTAAATATTACACTCATTGCAATTTATAGAAATGCTAAATTACACATTTTACATAATTCAGGTATATTTAATTAATCAGTAAATTTACTAAATTTATTTAAAAAAAAATAACATAAACCGTTCACCAGAAATTGAGTAAATCATATATATATATATATATATATATATATATATATATATATATATATATATATATATATATATATATATATATATATATATATATATTAGTATAAGTATATAAATTGTGCAAGCTTATTTCGCAATATTAGATTGAAAGCACAGAAAAAGCATGTATACACATGCCTATAGAGTAGTATAAAGCCAAGTGTAAATGCAAACGATTCGCCCTCGACTGCTTGTTATCCAAATGACAAAAAAAGCACTTTTAATATCAGGGGTAAGCAGGGCCTAACAAGCTTTTTTACAAGGACTGTCTTGCACATAACTGCATGATTTCGTCTTCTCTCTGAATGTGTTTATAATAGGATAATGAGTATAGTGGGCTTTTGTGGATCTATTACTTCACACTGATTAAAGTCTAACCAGAATGACTTTTCAGCTAATCCTTATCCACAGTCCACTAATCTACCTCACTCTCTCACAAACAATGTGATCTTTAACCTGTTCATAGTGTTCCTGTCCTCTCTCATGTTCTCGCTTACTCTAGTGTGTGCATTGAAAACTTTGGCTTGTTAGCTGCATTTTAGCAACACTGTAAAAATATACATTAATTACCAGGTTCTGTATATTCTGGTTCACATTGTGTTTTCAATTGCCATTTTATAGTTACCACAACATTTTATGTGTGTTCATTCATTTTACTTACTTTGAAAAGTTTAGATTTTATTTCATTATTTTTTTATTTGCAATATTTTATTTTTAATTATTATGTGTTTTCCCTAAAACTAACGATTTTTTGTTGAATAATAAAGAAAAAAAACTAACTCTATAGTAATTGACATGTTAGTAGTTAAAAACAAGGTATTGTTAAAGAAATAATATAGAAAGAATTAAATCTGTAAAATAAGAATGCAATTTATTACCAGGTTTTGTACCATCATTTACAACACAAACATTTCAATATCAAAAGATTTTAGAGGAAAGATCAAAAACACATAATGCAATTCATAGGCATGAATCACTAAATATGTTTTATTTACAAATATTTTTTATTGTGAACTTTAAAAATGTCTAAATATTGTTGTATATAAACTGTCGGTCAGAGTATTATTTATTTAGTATTGATTTTAGTAAACATTTTAGTAGTTTCACCTAGCTTTTTTGCTGTGTTTTAATTTGCATGCTGTCTTAAATAGTATTCAACAAAATAATTAGTGTGTCCCAGATGGTAGTAGAGTATGTTTAAAAGAGTATGCCCGGATTACTGTTTCCAAATTCAAAATGCAGATTCATTCATTCTAGACTACATACAATTTAGCCTACTCAATTCACCTATACCGTGGCAATGCAGTGCCAAAGTAGGTAGTGCTGTCGCCTCACAACAAGAAGGTCGCTGGTTCAAACCTAGGCTTGGTCAGTTGGTGTTTCTGTGTGGAGTTTGCATGTTCTACCTGCATTCGCTGGTTTCTCCGGTTTCTAATGACCCAGCTGGGGCTCGAACCAACGACCTTCTTGCTGTGAGGCAATTGTGCTACCCACTGCACCACGGTGCAAGTGCATATTTATACATTCTTTAATTTTTGTTTACTAAATGTGACGTTTGGTATATGTAACTTTATGAGGAGATTTCTCTACAAAAAAAGAACTGTGATTTCCAGAAGAGCATTTATTGTAAAAGAAATGTGGAGTGGGTGACACAGTGGCTCAGTGATAAGCACTGTCACCTCACAGCAAGAAGGTCACTGATTTAAGCCCCGACTTGGTCAGTTGGCATTTCTGGGTGGAGTTTGCATGTTCTCCATGTGTTGGCGTGGGTTTCCTCCAGGTGCTCCGGTTTCCCTCACAGTCAAAACACATGCGGTATAAGTAAATTGAATAAACGAAATTGGGCATACATACTGTATGTGTGTTAATGAGTGTGTGGATGTTTTTCAGTTCTGGGTAACAGCTGGAAGGGCATCTGCTGCGTAAAACATATGCTGAATAAGTTAGCCGTTCATTTCGCTGTGACAACCGGATGAAGCAGAAGGAAACTGAATGAATAAATGAATGAATGAATGAATGAATAATTGAATGAATGAAAGAAATGTGGAGAATGTAACAAGATGGTTGACAGGGCACTTAACCAAACAACAGAATAGTTCATGAATATGGTGTGTCCCAAAACTTGCCTACTCTGTTACAATAAAAAAAAATTCAGTATTGGGATAAAACACTTTTCATCTTTTTGTTTTGTTCATGTTTTATTGTTCCTGCCTCTCATTTGTATCCATAGTTACTGATTATGTTACACACTTGTGTCTGATTTAATTAATCAAAATCTGTTGTATTTTTGGTTCATGTAACAAGTTTGTTGGTTTGTCCTGTGCCACAAGGGTTTGTTTAGTTTAACTTTTTATTAAATACAGAATTACTGCTGTGACATTTCTCCTTTGCTCCTGAAACCAATTTTCATAACTTGTGTTGCCAACTGCTTTTAATGGAAAATTTATTGCTTGTCAAATGACATTAGAGTATGTCATATCGACCAGTCTAAAAAACAAAGCAAGGCTTTTCCAAATATCTGCAAGATTTTTTTTTTTTTTTAGCAATTATGTCATATAATCAAATATGCTCTCCATTATCGCTGTCATTCTCTAAGGTTATTTAAGGAGTTTGAAGTTTTAAATAAAGTATTGATACAACTACACTCTAAAAAAAAGGGTTTCTTGAGCTTCTATATAGAACCATTTCTTTTAAGAGTGTACTTACAAAGCGTTTTAGTTTTGTTACATTCTCTTTTGTTTTCATTTAATTTACTTACAAAATTGTCATGAAGTAATTATAAATCTTAAGTAATATTTTGAAATAAACTGGTGGACTGTTTATTTATTTGAGCTGTGGAACATTTTTAAAATAAAAATACATTTTAAAACATCTTGTCATTGATGGTAAGGTCTTCATAATGTAATTTCATATTATTTATATCATCGAGTTATATTTTGTTGTTGTGTAGCCCATTTTAGAATAAAATATAAAGCTAAATAGGCTATTAAAAATATAAACAGTACAACTATTAATAGAACCTTCACAAGGCAAATGGAAAACATAAATATATATGTTATGACTATATTAAAGAGTGTAATCTTCAATTAAAGTCTGGTGTTAGTAGACAAATGCTAAATAATCAGATAACGTTAGCCTACTTAGGCATGTACCCTAATATAAAATCAAAAAAGTTATTAATAAAAGAGGTAAATTCAAAATAAACAGATCAAAATGAAAGCGTTCTTACATACTAAATATCAGTGCATTTTACAATTTACTTCACTGCTGAACTTCTGCCTTCATATAGGCTATATAACAATGACTTTTTCCCACAAACTCCTAAAAAAACAAGTTTCAAAAGAGGATTTTTTCCAGGAGTGGCAAAGAACAACGATTTTTGGTTCTCCAATTGATCCATTGATTTTCAGTCAATACTTCATAAAAGAAAACATTAAATGCCATTTGAATGTGTCTCGCGCCCTGCACTTACAGCTGTGATGATGATGAATGAAGCAACGTCACGGTGAACCAATGAGCTTCCGCCTCACATTCTCCACGCTCAACTTTATCAACATCTGCTGACTGGACACGAAGCAGAGGCTATGGCACTCACGTGACCCCCGAGCTCACGTAAATAAGCTTTAAAAGTACGATAAATCTCTACACAACTTTGTTCGGTCGTGTTTTCTAGCAGGAACGCAGAACGGAGCAGAGCGAGTCCGGATACAGGAACCCGCGCGCGCTTGCGTCAGCCAGAGGATTCACTGTATTTGATTGACTTCAATGTCAATTGCTCCATAGCATCAAACTAAAGCTTCCTGAGACTGAAATGCAAAAGCTAGTTTTTCCACTTTGTCGTGTATTATTAGAATCGCACCATTATTTTATAACTCTACATTTTAAGATATGTTGACCGCCTAGCAGGCTTGTAGGCTTTATTTATTATTAAAACATCTCAGGCTGAACTGCAGCGAGAACAGCGAGTCGTTATTACTGCAGGATCTGAGGTGAGGGTGGGATCAGCTGATTAGAAGTTTACACGTGTTACAGTGCAAGGGTCTTTACCTCAGGAGTTGGACTATCACTCTCTCCAGTGTGATATGAGAGGTGCACAGGACTGAAGAGGAACAAGCCACCCCTCTCGTATTGCTTTCTTTTATCGTTTTTCTCTCTGTAAAGCCACAATATCTTGTTTGCTCCACCAATTTCACCTGCACCAAAGATGTCCTGCCTGTTGCTTGGAGTACTAAAGAGGTAAGTGTATTTTAGCTGTCAATAAATTATATAGGCTATATATATATATATACACATTAATGTAATTTATGTGGCAGCAACTGGTCTGCAAAGGACATTCAGTATATGTGTAGTTACACATGTTTATTGTACATTAATTATATATTATTAAGATCATCACAATAACTTACTATTCTATTACCAACATATTACCTTACCGCAATATTGTGCAAGTCATATTTCAATTTTTCATCACATGCAACAGTGACTTTCATAAAAATTAACAAAATAAAAAGCATAGTTTTATTTAAACAAAAAGATAAGTATGTTAGTAAAATGTATTCAGGATTCAGGGTTCTAGATTTTTATGTCACATCATGCACAGTATATCATATAATCTTTGAAGCATTTTACAATTTATTGCGTAATTTAGTTTTGTTTGTAAGAAAACAAGAACATTGAATTCAATGCCAATGTTTGCTCTGATTAATTTTCCTGCAGTCTAAAAAGTAATATATATAGTGTACAGTATCACACCCCTGTCTATCCTGTGTAAACATCCTTGTTGAATAGTTTCTTGTAAGGACTGATATTTAAACAGACCTGTTCTATAAAAGCATGTGTTACAGTCAAGTGCCCTGTTTTAAATAGAATACTTAACTAAAACTGTCTATTTTAATGCACAACCATCTTTGATAGCATTATACAGATGTACAGAGTAAATAATAATACTCCACAGTCTTGCTGCCTGTAGTATTGGCAAATAATGACATTTGCCACATATTATATGTGACTATTAGACTCACTGAACAGAGTGTCATTAAGTGTGTCATGTACAGGAATGCAGCAGTGTAAGTCACGTAGCAAACTGACTTTTTTAGGGACTTGCTGTTTATGACAAGTCTGAAAAAACAGGTTACGAATGAGCAAATATCCCTTACCTTTGACCACACAAAGCAAAGTCACAACAAACAATTGCGAGTCGTGTAGCGCTATCTGGAATTTGTTACATTTACTGATCATTAAATCCAATTTTAAACTGAGAATGAGACATATTCATGCAGATCTCATTTTATAGCATCTCTATCTGCTCTGTCACTATCTCACTAGACTCTGTCTCTGTGATTACATCAGCTCAAGACTTCAAGTAAATATGCATGGTGTGAAAGTCTCTACTAGCTAATCTTTACCCTACAGTTGCATGATACCAGGAACTGATTGTTAATCTGACATTATACAAGTATGCTTTGAATGAAAAAGTCTCCTAACTTGCTTAACAGGCATTTTTATTTTTGCACAACTGAAACAGCCAAGAGATACAGCTTTAATGCATGCAAATTGTTTGGGAAGAAATAAACTCTTTTGGCTTTGTGTTCGTGTTTCACACATTTCTCAGATGGTTACGTGTGCCATGTGTTCATGCATGAACATTGTGTGCTTGTAGTGACCAAACCCTGTTTAACCAGAATCTGAGGGGAGAAGAGGGGAGTGAATGCCACTGGGGCCTTCTGATTGGTCGGTTGCTGTGGGGGTGTGTTTAACTGCCTGACAATTGATGGTCTAAAGCTCGTTGGTTATTGAGGGATGGAGGAGGTCAGGACTGTCAGAGACTCAGAGACTTTGATCTGAAGTTTGTGTGCATTTTTATGGTTTTGGAAAGCAATAGAGGGCATTTATGTGGTAGAGAGTGTTGCAATTGGGTGTGGGGTTCGGACTCAACAGAATGAAAGGGTGAAGGAACCCTCCACTTGTTATCCTTCTGAATTATAGTCACCAGGCCTTGCTGTCATGTGCCATCTTGGTAATTGAATTCACTAATTTTGTTAAAGAATGACAGGCTTGTTAAGATTATGTTTGATGCATATGCATGTATAGAAAGCAGAGGATTGAATGGCGAGGGATAAATGTGATATTAAACCCAGTGCCGCCCCCAGAAAATTTTCTGAGGGGTGGCCAGAAGAGGCCACACCAAATCTTGGGGTGGCACACAAAAAAATTATGAATTCAGTGTAAAGTCATTTGTTTCCAGGAAATGAAATAATGTTGTTTTATTAATTTAATTATTACTCTTAAAATATCACAATTTATTCCGTGAAATAATTCAGCTAGTACATGTGCAAACCAAATAAAAATCAATATTTAGTTTAAAAACACTTTTTATATACATAAATAACTTTTTAGTTATTTTTCACATACTATTATTGTACAGCACACAGGATATGCCATGTCTAAAATTAATGGAGATTAATGTGTTAATTAATAAAACAAACAAGTATACAAACTGAACAAAACTGAAAAAAAATTACTATATACACACACACTTACTATACAGACCCTAATAATATAATTTATCCATATTCCTTTTTGAGCCACTTTATTAATGCAGCTTCTTCTATTGATGTACCTTAAGGTAAATATTACATTGCCATTACCGTCTATTGAAGGTGTGTGCGTGCTGTCAACGACAATCAGGGAGTTTATTTTTCAATAAACATAACAATTTATTTATATTTATTCTAAATAAATACAATTAATATTAATATTATTATAAAATTATTATTCTAAATAAATAACAGAAATCAATCCTAAATGTTACTGGAAAACAATGTTACAACTGGAGTGATATGCTAAGATCACATAAGAAATTTTTTGCATGAATATAAGTTATGACGATTCTATAGAATACAAAAACATATGTTTTATAGAATTATCAGTGGTCTTAGACCCTAATTATGGCTGAGAATTAATGTTATAAAGTCTTGGCTCCCTGACTCATTATCCCTTCTTTCTGCTTTATAGCCATGCTTGGTAAAAGTAACATCATCATAACATTATATAAACTTTAGTTTTGTCGAGTTTCAAAACTCACTGTGTGCTGACCCACTAAACAACCGGGATACACACAGGAATGCGTGAGGAGCACGGGAAGGGTTTTTCTGCGCGTATGCATCAGTTTGCTTTCACCAGCCTTGTTTCGATTGCACATAGAGAACACGTGCAAAAGATGCCAACTGTGAACGGCTTTAATATCTTTACTCTGGGATTGCCACTCTAAGTTAACGCACTTGCATAAAGTAAATGATATCCCAATGCTTTAATTAGGGGATTTTTTTTTTGTTGCACCATCTTCGCATGCCGCCTCCAGCAAGATGCCGCCCTTGGCATATTGCTTAAGTCTGCCACTGGGGAGAGAGGGACTCAGCTACGTCAGTGGCAACAACAATAATTTAGTTGCTGCATTTTATTTATTTATTTATTTATAGAAACATTGGGAATTTCATGCCGTGGCCGTTTACCATTTTCCCCAATTTCTGTTTAATGGAGAGAAGATTTTTCTAACACATTTCTAAACTTAATAGTTTTAAAAACCTTTTTCTGATAACTGATTTGTTATATCTTTGCCATTCATTCATTCATTCATTCATTCATTCATTCATTCATTCATATATTTTCTTTTCGGCTTAGCCCTTTTATTAATCTGGGGTCACCACAGCGGAATGAACTGGCAACTTATCCAGCATATTTTTTATGCAGTGGATGCCCTTCCAGCTGCAACCCTTCTCTGGAAAGCATCCATACACACTCATTCACACACATACACTACGGACAATTTAGCTTACCCAATTCACCTCTACCGCATGTCTTTGGACTGTGAGGGAAACCGGAGCACCCCGAGGAAACCTATGCACGTATCGAATTAAACTAGGTTAATTATGTTAACTAAGCAGGTTAGGGTAATTAGGAAAGTCATTGTATAATGATGATTTGTTCTGTAGTCTATCGAAAAAATATAGCTTAAAGGGGCTAATAATTCTGCCCTTAAAATGCTGTTTAAAAAATAAAAACTGCTTATATTCTAGCAGAAATAAAACAAATAAGACTTTCTCCAGAAGAAAAAAAATATATCAGACATACAGTGGAAATTTCCTTGCTCTGTTAAACATAATTTGGGAATATATTTTAAAAAGATAAATAAATTCAAAGGGGGGCTAATAATTCTGACTTCAACTCTATATATTTAATTGCATAGGTATGACACAGGTATTACAAGGAGAAGGTGTTGATAGACATTGCCCATTTTCCCATTTATCAAAATTATGCCCTGGCCTGCAGCCTATTAAATTGTGCACATGTGTATTCATTCAAAAGGATAACACTAATTCATCTTGCAGATACTAAATATTCAGCTTCGGTCAGAGATCTTGGTTAAAGTATATCCAACAGTTACTCAACTCAAATTCATTAGTGTAACATGAATCAAGCAGATCCATTAGCTGTACACATTATGTACAGGCTTTACTTTAGACTTTACATTGAGTTGGGTTTAGATGGTTTCACATCTTTTATTTATATTTATTTTAGAGTTTTGTCATTTTTGTCTTGAATGCACAAGGCTTCCAGAGTCTGACACCTTTGAGCAAAAACAGCTCTTTATGTTGCTTGCTTTTGTAAACTGGTATTTGTTATTAAATTTAAGTGACTTGCACATTAAAATAAGACAATGGATGTGTCTGAAATCCATAATTAGCACAGATTTGCTGAAGATAAAAGTCATTTAGAAAATCATTCCCAGCATTTCATTAAATCTGCTTTATGTTACACCTCAACTAACCACATAATTATAATAATTTAAATATTAATTAGCCATTTCTTGAACAGATTTAAATTAGTTAAATTACTAACCATCAATATACATAGTGGTAAATTGATGCAACGTGCAACTATGCAGAAACAAACGAGAAGAAATATAACGTGATTTCTGACTTATATACAACTTCAGAAGCAGAGGAAAGTGTGTCAAAAGATAAAATGCATGTTTTTGTATGTGATGTGTGCTTATGAAGTATAAAACTAACCATAAAGTTTCCTGAATTTTAAATGCACGGTCAAGCCATTAACAGGCAATGTCTTTAGTTTATTTTACTAATGTTTGTGTGTTTGTCCACCCAGGCGAAATGCCATCAGCACAGCTTCAGTGGGAGTGCGGTCGCTCGCCTCCATCCCCTCTCTGCCTCCGTCAGTGGCAGAGTTCGTGTCAGGCGCAGCGGCTGAATGTAAACCTGCTAAAGTGCACGTGGTCACAGGCACACCAGAGGAGACAGCAGACCTTCTGGCCAACCTGGAGAAAGAGGGCATGGTAAAGAAGCTCGCCAAGTATGAAAACTGGTAAGCACTGTTTTGCAAATACGCTATCATATTTTTAGAAATACTAATTAGAGGTTGACTAATGTATATATTTTGCCAATTAATCAGCACTGACAGTTTTTTTTTAAACAATCGACACAATCCTAGCTGATAGTTATATAGTTTGCAGTTTGCAGCTGAGAAGGCTCTGTTGCCATTATATATTATATGCAAGAACCAACATATCTATGGTAAGAGTGGCCTCTAGAGGCAAAAAATACTGACAACATGCATGTGAGTACATTAAAGGGTTAATTCACCCAAAAATGAAAATTCTGCCATCATTTACCCACCCTTCACGTGTTTAAAACCATTTGATGTTTAATATATGTTGATGCTTAGAAAACATTTTGAAGAAAGCTACAAACCTCAAACCACTGGCTTAAATAGTATTTGTTTATCCTTCTTCTGAAGTCAGTAGTAACATGTTTTTAGCTTTCTTTAAAATATCTTCTGTTCAGCAGAAAAAGGGAACTCATAAAGGTTCGAAACAACACAACACTGATTGAATAGTAAGTCAATTAAGGTTGCTCGGGTAAAGTATGTGTATGATATTCACTGACAACGAATGAGCTCGTGAAAGTTGCTCTAAAGTTGAAGGATTCTCAACTTTGTTGGTGTTGCTTGACATGCCCAGTCGCTTGTGTGGCTGGAGAGCTAGAAGTCGCTAGCTCTCTATTAAATTCCAAGGTCACTTGTCACTTTGCCTTTGGTAATATGAATTGGGCTTTATCGTTGCTTCAAGCGGTAAAATAATGTGACAAAAATACACTACAGTCAGACCCAAATGTTTAATGTTATTTCTGTGTAATGGTTCCCATATTCATATCAACTGTTTTGGTACAGACTGTGCAGTCTGGTTTACAGTTTGGTTCAGTTCTGTGCAGACATGTACCATAAGCAATCCTAGTTTTAATAGCCAAACAAACACAATTCAAATACTAGTTCCTACACTGCTATTTTAAGCAGTGGAGCACCTCCACCTCACTCATAAAGCACATATACAGCTGTTTACACTGATATTCTATTGGACATTATAATGACAATGTTGTGTCACAAACCCATAAAGCATACATAATAATTTATCATTGCTTGACATTGCTTCACCATTATCAATTTGAAATGTGGTATAAAAACATACATACAGTTAAAGTCAGAATCAATAGTTTTCTGAATTATTAGATGATTTTTTCAACACATTTCTAAACAAAATAGTTCTGTAGACAATTTTAAAAAGTATTAAATTATTTTTAGAAAAAAAAAATAAAATTAAGTAAAATTTAATTAAAAGCCGAAATAAAAAATAAGACTTTTTCCAGAAGAAAAACGCATTTTAGGAAATACTGTGAAAAAATTTATATCTTTGTTAAACATCATTTGGGAAATATTTGAAAAAGAAAATTGACAGAAGGGTGAAAATTTTTTACTTCACCTGAATATTGTGAAAATGACAACTCTGGATTCAAATCAAATGTTTGTGAGCACTGCAAAAGCACTAACAGACTCATCTCTACTTATGAAGGATGATGTACAGAATTTACTTTCCCTTTTATATTTTGCAAGTACAATCCAAATTAGCTATCGGTATTTGTAAAATTCATTATCGATCATCCTCTAATACTGAAGATATGAATGATCCAACACTGACTTAATTCTGCTGCTTCGTAATCTTTTCTGTGTGCAGCTGGCTGGCACGTACTGACCCTAAAGATGTGGCTCGGGTGGAGAGCAAGACTGTGATCGTTACTAAGAACCAAAGAGACACCATTCCTATCCCCAGCGGAGGTGCCAAGTCCCAGTTGGGTAGCTGGATGAGTGAGCAAGACTTCCAGAAGGCTAGAGAAGACCGCTTTCCTGGCTGCATGGCAGGTGTGTTAAGGCCTGTTGATACAAATATAACAAAAGATATAGTTCTTAAAGAATAGCTTCCACACCACAGATGTTAAGATAACAGAGGAACGATATTACACTTCAAAAAATGCAGGATTCCACACAATTCATTCATATTGTCCCAACACAAATTTATCAAGTTAACCTCACAAATTGAGGTGGATTGAACATAAAACAATTAAGTTGTTCCAAATAAATCTAAAGAATTGTGTTGCTTAAGCTCATTTTAAATAAGTAGTTTGAACAAGCAGCAATATTGCACACTGTATTTGAATCTCTTTTTAAACTCTAATAAAAACATTTGTAGAAAATATGTTTTTAAATAACAGTATTGTCAGTGTTTTCTGTTTTAGACAATTATAAACCTATTGCTCACACTTACACTTGTGTGCACTTAACATACAAAAAACTAAATAAGTTGAACTTTCTCTCAAATGGGAAATATATAAATATTTACTCTTCTTTCTTATAACAAAATAAAACACCAAACTGTAATCGAAAAGAAAACTGCAGTTTTATTTATTTTATTTAAAATATGACAACGATTTCTATCTTGGATCACTTTGGCCTAAATGTCTGCTGTACTTTTTTGATATTTTGTTACTTTTTAAAGCTTTGTTTTTAAAAGAAAAATTAGTTTGGCTGTATTGCCCAGACATTTGAAAAATAGTAAACCAACATCACAATGAATCATTATAAAATCGATCCATTATAAAAACCGATCAATTAATTCATTGAACATCATAAAACAAGAATGAATGAATATGTTATACTGTAAATAATAATGATATCTCTGGGATCCAGACATCTTATTCAGCTTTTTAAAATGCTTAGTATACTCATCTATATTGAGTATCTGGATATATGCCCAGTTATAATGCTCTTTTCAATTTTTTGATCATCATTTGATAAATTACTGCTGCCATGATCAATAGTAAGTGTACACAAACCAGAGCTCTTAAATCAAATTTTGTTTGCTTTGGCTCCTGACGTCTGTGGACAGCAGTAGTGCAACATTTATTGCATCAGGCAAGTAGAAATATTGTAACAATCCTAATTTTATAAAATGTGTTTAATTGTGAAATGTTTCTTTAAAAACTAAATATGTTATTCAATCCACATATGTTGAATAGGCAGAGATGAAAATATTTGAATGTCCATAAAGTCTCTGTTTTATTTTTCTGAAAAATATTATTTCTCTGAATGTTTTATTTTTCCTCTGTAGGACGCACTATGTATGTGATCCCCTTCAGTATGGGCCCAGTGAACTCTTCTCTTGCTAAGTTTGGTGTTCAGGTGACAGATTCTCCCTATGTGGTGGCTAGTATGGGCATCATGACAAGGATGGGGACACCAGTGATGGAGAAACTTGCACAGGGAGCAGAGTTTGTTCGCTGCCAGCACTCTGTGGGCAGACCTTTACCACTTAAAGGTACATTAACTGCTGTATTTTAATATCAGATCAGCTAGAATCAGAGAAAATCTACTTGTGATTAAATCCATCGTATTGTATCGTCATTGTATAACATTGGTTTGTTCGTAGATTATCGAAAAAATATTGCTTAAGGGGGCTAATAATTTTGATATTTAAATTGTTTTTAAAGAAATTAAACCTGCTTTTATTCTAGAAAACTTTGAACAGAAGAAAAAATATTAGCCGAAATACTGTGAAAAATTCCTTGCTCCGGTAAACATAATTTCGAAAATATTAAATGGCAGGAGGACTAATAATTTTGACTTCAACTGAAAACACATATTAAAGCAATGTAATTGTGTGATGAAAAAGCGGGGTTTTCTGCACAAGTTTGTACATTGCCATTTTGCCATAACAAAATTTGATTGCTGAAAGAACTTTTCAATTTAATCGTCTTTACAACAGAACAAGATGGAAATAAGGTACAATGACTATTTTGCCATCATCTAAATATTTGTCTAAAATACTTATAAAATACTACTATTATATGAAATACCTATATTGAACAACAAAGTTTAATAAACAACAATATAAAATGCCAAGTAAATCAGTCAGTAGGAAATATATTAGTTTGTTTGTATGAATTTATAAAACTTAACTGTGCCCTCAGTCAAATCTGTTTGCTCTGGAACAAATAGAGACCAAATATTACCTTTAGATATTACCTGAAATGAATTATACTTTATTTGAAAACACTAAAAAGACACTAGAGCCACCGGTAGATTCCAAAATAAGTGTCCATGTCAAGGCTCCGGTCAGCGGTGTACATGAGCAATGAGTTCCAACTGACTTGCTGTTATTTTTGTAGTTTAAAAACACACATTCTCACCTAAAAATACATTATGTGCAGTGCTTTACATTAATACCCGCCAAATGCGGGTAGATTTCAGCTCTGTCGGGTTAAACAGACACCTCTACTAGCCACTTTGGCTGGTTGGAAATCAATTTTAACATGTAGTATTCGTAAAAGCAGGGTTCGACAATAAGAATGGCCCAATATTCATGCAAATGTGATCTTAGAAGCAGCACGAGAACTGTGTTCGCGTGAGCAAAACAGCAAAAAAGAAGGTAAATACCGAACGAGAGGATGATCGACTGTTAAAAAGCGCACGCGCTCTCGTTTACTTGCGTGAATCCTACCCCTAAAGGAAGCGCAAATGGTGCGATCATTTCCCTTCAAAATAGGCTGGACAAAGTGCGATGATCGTGCACGCACAGTTCTGCTGCTTTCGAGAGCTCAAGCCTCAAGATAAAAAAAAATACACAAATTCTTTTGTAAGCAGCAGCAGTCACTGCTTTCATTTTAATTATTCTTTGAACAGATTAACAAGCCTATATTAACCGTGTGTATGTGATCATCCTTTCATTATCACACACGGTATGTTTCACCTGCTTTCTTTTGCTTTGTTATTTTTTTTAATATGGTTGAATCATATTTATTACAATAACATTGCTTTAATGGGAGATTACTCCCCGTTTGTAGTTAATTGCTGATCTGGGACTTTTAGCCAGGACAGGTTACTGTACATATTTTAGATACATGACAATACTTAATTTTTTAAATGTATATTTTTTTTTTTAACAAAAGTTTTGTTGAATTAAAAAGTGCACCTATAAAGCTATATTTTCCTTGTTTTGACAAATTAAAACATTGTGGCTAAGAAATACTCATTTGGTGTGATCAGAGATAAATTTGGTAAATCCTTATTATGAGCCGTAAAAAGTCATGTAAAATAAAAACTAATTGCATTGCGACAACCCATTAGCTCATGCACATTGTGCAAGCTAATACACAACACACACAAGAAGTTAAATGAATGAGGAGGCATGTTGTTGACATAACACAACATCTAAATCAAGTCATCTTAGCATGTCAAAGTCAAATTTATGCATATAAAATATATTTCCCAACAAAAAAAGTGTGGCTAGTGAAAATGGCGAGTGGCTTGTAATGTTGGAAATCTACTAGCCACAGTGGCTGGTGATCAAAAAAGTTAATGTCAAGCCTTGATTATTTGACACTATAGTTTGAAAAATATGGAGAAATGGTGAAGGTTTAGTGATAGTAACTTTGCAGTAGCTCTTGGTATTCTATATATTCATTGTATTCTATGTCTATTCTTACCACACAGGCCCTCTAGTAAATAGCTGGCCTTGTAACCCAGAGAAGGTGTTGATATCACATCTTCCTGACACCAGACAGATCCTGTCCTTCGGCAGTGGTTATGGTGGAAACTCGCTCCTTGGAAAGAAGTGCTTTGCTCTTCGTATTGCCTCACGCATCGCCAAAGACGAGGGCTGGTTGGCTGAACACATGCTGGTACAAGACATCAGACAACATCCTGAACCTTGCTTGCATGTCCCCTAAAGACATCAGAGTTTATTGAGGAGTTTACTGCCTTATACATTAAAGATTAGTTTTATCGATCAAGGAAATGATGTACTGAAGCTAGTGTTATCATTTATAAAACATGATGTTGAAAGATGGCTCTGCTTTTCTCCTGCAGATTCTGGGAATCACAAATCCTCAGGGTGTAAAACGGTACATTGCAGCAGCGTTCCCAAGTGCTTGTGGGAAAACCAACCTGGCCATGATGAAGCCATCTCTACCAGGATGGAAGGTTGAATGTGTGGGGGATGACATTGCCTGGATGAAATTTGACAGTCAGGGTGAGAAATACAACTTGTCCTGTACAATATACATTTAAAAATGTGTTTTTTACTTGGATTTTTTTGTCTTGTTTCTAGTCCAAATATCTAAAAATTCTTAAATCAAGAAGCATTTTTAGGCAAGGAAAAATATAAAGTCAAATTATGTGAGTTTTTCCTTAATAAAAAGGGGTCCGAAATATTCTTACATCAAAGGGATAAACAAGATTAGTTTGCTTATTCCGTTGGCAGAATATTTTGCTTGTTTTAAGGGGAAACTTTCATAATTGTGGCATATTATTACTGAAAACAGACAATATTTTTGCTTGTCTATAAAATGCTTCTTTGTTTAAGAATTTGTTGATATTTGGACTAGAAACAAGGCAAAAACTCTAAACCAGAAAAGCATTTTTGCAGTGTTTGCAACTATTGACACAATATAATAATTGTGGGTTTATGAGTAGCCAGAAAATCACACTGTGTATCTTATTTTAGCATTTTTATTGGGCGGCAAAGAGACAGCTAATTAAAGTAGAGCTAAGTGCATGGTTCAGCAAACAAAACACTCTATTAAAAACAGTTGCTGAGGGACAGCTTGTAATCTGTTGACTGGAATACTCATGTTTATAGTTATAAATAGATGTTTTTTACACAGACGTTAGCATGTTTTGACTTTCTTCACCAGGTAAACTCAGAGCAATCAATCCAGAGAACGGTTTCTTTGGAGTTGCCCCCGGGACGTCCCTAAAAACCAACCCTCATGCCATGGAAACCATCTCCAGGAACACAGTGTTTACTAATGTAGGAGAGACCAGTGATGGAGGAGTGTGGTGGGAGGGTCTGGAACCTCCTGCACCAGGAATCAAACTGACAGACTGGCATGGGAAATCCTGGAAGTATGGTAAGATAATTTAAATCTAAAAAATAATTAGAATAAATTATACATACAAATAATGATATAAATAGAAAAAAAGGCAGATACATGTAAACTTCAGCACACCCCCACCCGCCAAGCACACAATAAATTGCTGCCTTACATTTTTGAATACCAAATACTGTCTTGCTCAAAATTGTTTACCGAAAATCAGGCACCATTAGCATTTGACAAGTTTTTACTATAGTCAAAAATGAGTAGTGCCCTCTGATTAAACTTTGAAGAACTACTCCAAACCAATGAGGGAAAACCTAGACATTTACAGAGTTTGTGATTGTAAGAAAATAGGAATTGTTTTTTATTATTTTTGTCTCTTCTTCTTTTAATTAAACAATTATTTGTATAGGTCATGTAAGGGTCATATGTTAACTGAACTTCTACTGTTGTGTGTGGGATGCTGTGCATACTAACTAGCATTTTTGCTGAAGTAGATAAATGCTGGTTCAAAATTAAATTCAGCTCTGCAGAAACTTCCTGTCTAAGGAAAGGTGTTAAAACTGAACACAGAGCACAGAAAGTTTTATGCTTTTATTGTGGTGCAGAGAATTCATAGAAAAAGAGAACTTATGTTTGGGGTGCGGCCAATGGAGGACTGGACAATGATTGACAAATGACGAATTTCACTAAACTCCACCTGTTAATTGAAAAAGAAAAAGAAAGTTGTTGCGCACCTCCTTAGTGTAACTTTTCCATTGCATTGAGGATAACAGAATTTTGTGACTCAAATTATTTATTTGTATCCAATAAATTGTTAAGATTTTTGACATTGAAGAAAAACCTCTCCTGACCTTTTTTCTTGAACACGTGTGGAATTGATTGAATTTTGCAACATGATGAATGATGAGGTTGTTTCTTCATGCGAATCAAAAACGAAAATGTTCTGGTTTTTATTTAAGAGGTTTAGTGAAGGTGTGTCTATTTTGACAAACGGGACAAACTTAATATACATAATTTGAAGACAACACAAGGATTAAAATATGACAACACACCCAATATTGGTGTATGCATTATTTACATAGAAAACATGTTGAATTTGAAGTTTTACATTTATTCATTTATAAGTGTTTTTAAAACATCCACTTTAATGTTTCGAATAATGTTCATATATTCATTCATTCAATCATTCATGTGTGTGCAGCATCTGTGGCATGATGCTGATATATAATTTGTATAATTTTAATTTAACTCTGTGTTTCTTAGGTGATTCTACACTGTGTGCTCATCCAAACTCCAGGTTTTGTGCCCCGGCTGGCCAGTGCCCCATTATAGACCCTCTCTGGGAGAGTGATGAGGGCGTCCCCATTGATGCTATTGTATTTGGAGGGAGAAGGCCAGAAGGTGTGTGTGACTGAACAAAAATTGTTATATCAAGATATTATTATTTTATTTTAAAAGCATATATAATTTATTACAAACATTCCATTTTCAATAAATGCTGTTCATTTGTTTAACAGCAAATCAGCATTAAACATAATGTTCTAAAATGGTTTCTGAGGGATCGTGTCAATCACATTAAAAACTTAATTAATTGCTGTAAAAATTCAGCTTCAGCCTGACTGTTGTAAGCGTTTTATTTATGTTTTCCAGGTGTGCCTTTGGTGTATGAGTCATTTAACTGGCGTCATGGTGTGTTCGTTGGTGCAGCTATGAGATCTGAATCCACAGCTGCTGCTGAACATAAAGGTACAAACTTTGATATATCTATTTAATAAATAGAAGGGAATACAAAACTACAATAAGTCACAAGAAATAAAAGTTTAAAGTGAATTGTAAACAGCTATTTGATGTATGACACTGCGCATCTTGCCTGTTAATTGTACACAAATAAAAATCCCCATGAAGATTTGTTGTTATAAAACAGATACTCTTTAAAATCCTTAACTCCATAAAAAGTGGATTTAAATCATAAAATAGGAAACGAAACTAGAACACTATTAAAATATTAATGTTCCACCAAACAATGTAGTTCTGATTGTAGAATCATTTAAAAACATAGACCATGACACAGTAATAAAGTAATATTTGATATCTGATTTACACTCAAAAAATGGATTATGGCTTTAGTTGGTCCAAAGAATGTAACTTTGTTTAAATTAAACAATTCATTAAGTTTGTCTATTAAAACCAAAAGAGTTGTGTTGGAAAAAATAGAAAAAGTATGTTTTCAATTTTAAACAGCTCGCTTAATTTAGATGAATGAAAGGGAGTTTTGTTGCTTCTACAGTACCACATTTTGGTCAATAGGTTAGTTGTTGTTTCAAAAGAACAGAGGAAGGAAGATTCAAACCACATTCAAACCACTCATTATATGGGAATCAAAAGAATAAGATTATATTGAAATTTTTGAAAAATGCTGTGCTCTATGTTCAATGCACTGAAAAAATATGGGTGATTTTATTAGTAAACATCTGTACAGTCCACAGTGAAAATCTGTTCAATAATTTGCAGCTCATTTCTGTACAAAATACAGAAAATAACTGTAACAGATCTAACCTTTGTTTTCCAGAATGTAATTAGAGTGTCTGAAATCTCACTATGCACCCCCATCCACTAGTCTCTTAATTAGTGGATTCGTTTAGTCCACTAGACCGAGTGAATGACCACAATGAGTGAATTCAGACACTGATGAACAGCTGCTTTAGACAAGCTCAATCACTAAAGGAAAGAACAAGACATAAACCCATACAGACACCGCCTCATACCAAACCAATTGAATTTAATAGAGGATTAAACACCTCCATTAAATAACAGCATTAGCAGCTTCACTAATTACAGTTTGAACACATTTCTGTCATACCTGCAGGAATATTTGATAATTAACAGAGGTTTATATATATTTAGTCCTATAAAACTTCAGAATTTTTACAGAAAATTCCTGGCAACCACTGCCGGTAATTTTCCGTAAATTTAACAGATTTTTTTTAACAGTGTAAATAAATTAAAGCTAAATTATACTGTAAGTGTTGTGTCGATTGAACTAAACAACATTACATTATCTTTACGTAACTAGCTTAAGTTCACTCAAATAAATATTCTTTCTTTCAGGTAACTTAACTCGGTTACGTGGAAACTGTTGACATAAAAAAAGTTAATTAAAGCCAACATATTAATTTTTTTGAGTGTTTTTTGAGGTCAAAGGTATGTTTCTAGAAAGTGCAACAGTAAGGGTTTGGAAGAACTACATTAATTTCCTCCCTAGAGAAATTAAATTTTAACTACAACTGATAAACCATTAAAGACAATATCTGTTGTGATATCAGAGGTTGTTAAAATATTATATAATAACTTTGCACCACAAAAGCTTGCAGCCTTGCACAGAACCTTGCACCTTTCATCTTGCAGGGTTTATTTTTGCCAAATAATCAAAATATATTGTATGGGTCAAAATGATTGATTTAGCTTCAATGCCAAAACTCATTGGAATATTGTCCCATGAATATATTTAGTGAATTTCATATCATAAATATATCAGAACTTAGATTTGATTAGCAATATGCATTGCTAAGAACTAAATTTGGACAAAAATAAAGGTGATTTTCTTATTTTTTACATTCACATTGCAGATTTTTATACAGTGTTGTACTATTGAACCATCCTTAAAAACAATGGAAAGCTTTTAAATTCTGATGTATAAATCTTCATTTAAAAATGGCTGGTTTTGTGTTTCAGTGTTACATATTTGCTTTTGTTGAACCCATGTTTGCATTAATTAAAATTATTTTGGTATTCTGTCTATGTGTACAGCTTTGAATAAAACGAATATACCACTTAAGAAAAGTTCATAATAATCAAGTGCTAAACAATCACTTTAGCCTAAGCATTTGGAGACAAATTAAACAAAAAGCTGAGTGTAATTTTTTGCATTCTTTCTAATACATGCGTCTCATTTTCCCTAGGTAAAGTAATCATGCATGACCCCTTTGCCATGCGTCCTTTCTTCGGCTACAACTTCGGCGACTACCTTTCCCACTGGTTGAGTATGGAGACACGCAAAGGCCCAACTCAGCTCCCTAAAATCTTCCACGTCAACTGGTTCCGGAAAGATCAGAAGACTGGCTCCTTTCTGTGGCCAGGATTTGGAGAGAACGCCCGTGTCCTTGAGTGGATCTTCAAACGATGTGGCCGTACCAGTGAAAACGAGGCTGCCACCAAGAGCATTGTGGGATGGATTCCACAAAATGGTGCCATAAACACAGAAGGCCTGGGTGGGAATATCGATATGGGTGCCCTCTTTGACCTGCCCAAACCCTTCTGGCAGAAGGAAACACAGGAGCTTCGGACCTACTTTAACCAGCAGGTTGGAGCTGATCTTCCTGCTCAAGTTGAAGGAGAGCTGAAGGCACTGGAGGAGAGAGTGAGGGATTGAACAGACACTATCACAGTAGATGTGAGAAATATGATGGGTTGAGGTGGAGGTAACTGTTTTATTGTGACTGACTGTTGCACTGCAGTGAATGCTGCATCTGAGAAACCAAATACTTCACTAGATGCCTTCTGTGGTATCAGTACCTTAGTGCCTTTTTTATCTTACGGTAGAAGCTAAAAACTCTATTTAATGTTTACAAGTTATTTCCCAAAATGCCATTTTAGATTATCCCCAACAAACATTTATTGTGTTTAAATTTCATCTAATAAACATTGGTGTCTAATAGACATTCAAGCATAGACATCTAATAGAAATCCACAGATTGGTGTCTTATAGATATCCAAACATAGACATTTAATAGACTTCCAAACACTGGCGTCTAATAGACATTCAAGCATAGACATCTAATAGAAATCCACAGATTGGTGTCTTATAGATATCCAAACATAGACATTTAATAGACTTCCAAACACTGGCGTCTAATAAACATTTAAGCATAGACTTCTAATAGACATCCAAATACTGGCATCTAATAGACATCTGAACATAGACGTCTAATAGACTTCCAAACACTGGCATCTGATAGACATCCAAACATAGAGGTCTCATTAGGATATTGAGACTTATATAACTAACAACAGTGCAAAAATAGACTAGTCATCAAAAAGACAGCATGTGAAATATGCCTAATATGTATTTTTGATGACTAGTCTATTTTGGGCTAACGTCTTTTTCTGGATGTCTATTATCGATCTATGTTAAGATGTTTATTAGATGTTTTATTTCGAAACACAAAACTGCTTGGTGGGTCATTTTAGATTAAAAATGTCGACATTATGAATTTAAACCACAACATCATTTTAAAGTGATGATTTGTCAGTACACTACATAATAGCTCATAATAGCTTGAGCAAAAATATCAGACATGCAATTATGAAAAGCACCAATAACATATAATTTGTGCTTTTACTGGTAACCTAATGAACTTTTTGAATTTTTATTTCCAAAGAATTTGCCTTTTATCAGTTGAATGTGATTGATGTGATTCAGGTTGAGCTAAGGTTGAATGATGGACCAAAGAGGACCGCCCAGTCTTATTCAGTGAATGTTCCTGTTTTTACCTGAGCTGGCCAAATGAATACAACTGTAAATCAAACGTTTTATGAGTCATTTGGTTTTCTTACATCACAGGGGTTGTAATAAACTACTTTTCATAAACTATAATAAAATATTCTGCTGATAACACAAATGTATTTTGTTTTACAGCCTATGGAATATGCTATTGATCTTAAATTAAGTTTTAATTCCAATAGTTAAACATTTCTTAAAAGCCTGGTGTAACTCTTTTTATGGCCCAAGTTCTAGTGAGTGCAATAACCTTATTTTTTCCCCTAAGGATTTTTTTTCAGTACTGTTCAAAAACTTGGCAGCTTTGCACTCACACATTGAAATGTTCAGTCTTTGCTCTGCCAAAACTGTAATCAGCTCTTCTGGCTTTTAGCAAAACTTGCTCTGGAATGTAATATATTTTAGTAGTGTATATAACTTTAGCATATAGATTTGATTTTAGATTCATGATTTTATTTTATTTAAGCAGTTTGTTTTGTTGGATCACATGGACTATTGTCTCAGTCACAGTGCCACCAACTGGCAGCGGGAAACAGCTTTCGTCAGAATTCACTCATTCATTTGCTTTTTGGCTTAGTCCTTTTATTAATCAGGGGTCGCCAAAACGGAATGAACCGCCAACTTATCCAGTAAATGGATTTTATGCAGCGGATACCCTTTCAGCCTCAATCCATCACTGGGAAACCCCCAAACATTCTTGCATTTACACACATACACTGCGGCCAATTTAGTTTATCCAATTCACCTATAGCGCTTGTGGGGAAACCGGAGCACCCGGAGGAAACCCATGTAAACATGGGGAAAACACGCAAACTCCACACAGAAATGCAAACTGACCCAGCTGGGGCTCAAACCAGGGACCCTCTTGCTGTGAGGCAATCATGCTCTCCCCACTGTGCCACTGTGACACGTTTGTCAGAATAATATTAATAAAAGTACTTTTAAAGGAATTCCTGATGTTGTATGGTTGCCATGGTAATTAATCAAACTTTATTACACTTTTCTGGAGGTTTTGAACAACTATTCATGCTTTTAAATTCATGAGCTTGACACACAGATCAGTTTTTGACCATTAGACTAAAAAAACTGAAACGGATGTATGGCTCTCTACTGCCACAATTCAGTTTCTTATTACTTTCTCTCTCTAACTATAAAAATTATAACTATATTGACAACCATAACACACATATGTGTACCCTAAATTTGAATAAAATGAAAAATACAAATTTTAAAAATGTAAAATGTGTTGTGTTTAAATAATCTACCATTATTAATCGGTGTAGTTGTTTCTTTTTCTATAATATTTGTTGATGTTGTTGTTGTTGTTAGGTAGAGTAAGTGGGCTACAATATGTTTACACATTTATTTCCAGTTTTTGCTAAATAATAATAATAATAAAGTGTGTAATGCTAAAGCCATAGTTTAACCATCAGTTTAACCATCAAACTATTTAGATTTGTCTATTTAGATTTTTTAAATAATCCCCTTAATCTGAGCAGTTCAAGACTTCTGAGTTCTTAGCTATACAAGTTTACCATCTGAACACACACACAACACACAACATAAAAGAGCACTCAATTTAACAATGTTAAGTGATTGAAAAAAAAAACACTAGATGAACCACTAGATGTCATCAAAATCGCCATTTTTTTAGGTTTTGGTTCTGAAATGAACTGACTGCAGTGCTATTTTTCTCTGAAGTAAAATGTAAAATGCATGCTACCTTTAACATAAAGATAATAAGCATATTTTTTACATAAACATTCAAAATTAGGCAAATTATTATTTTTTTAAACATTTCTATTATCTGAGGGATTCAAGAGCTTTGTCGCTTGAGCTAACACAAAGAGAACTTGATTCAAAACTCCCTAATTTGTCCCATATGAAATAAACGAGGAATACTAAAATTAAAAGCATTTTTATTTGCACTTTTGATTTATAGAAATGTAAAAAAATATATATATGATGATGATTATCAAAAATACATGAATGGATAGATATGACACTAGTTTAAAAAAATTGGGTTCACATTTTAGACCTTCATGTCCACAAGGGAAAGATTAAGGTCTCCAGTATAAGATATACTTGAGGGTAAAAAAATTCAATAATTGGAAATATTTTTGTGGATTAGATCAGGTTAAATTTCACCACATTTTTCAGAGTAAGTTTACGATTTTAAATTCTTTAACCTTAAATCAGATTTTACACGTTTATTGGGGGTAATTTTCAGCAATCTAATTATTAAATTCCACATCCTATTTTTTTGACTCATCACTGAACAATACCACTCATCACAGTGGTTGACATTCACAAGAAATTGACAATTGTTTATGGCTGAAAAGATTCATCAAACCCTGCACAAAATAACAAAGAGCAAAATGTGTGTTCATTTGTTGATTTTTGTCTTTTTCTCTGTCACCTGAAGCTCGGCATACTCTGTTGGTGGTTCATTACTTAAAAATTCTCTTGTTGCGTGACTCGTCTGGAGTTTGGAAAAGTCAATCTCTCCATAGTGAAGATCAGCAGTTTCTTTCTCATTTTTCTCACTGATCACAAAGCCATTGTTAGCATAAATAGCCACAGCATCGCTGTTTTTATCCATAGCCTGAAGAAAAGGGAACATTTGTAAAATAATACTTTAAAACAAATTTTCTTCTGTAATTGTCAAAAGTAACTTGAGAAGATGAGTCTGAGGAGAATTACTCTTTACAAAGTGAACTGCTAAAAATTCTTAAATTAAACTGTCAGACTATTTTAGACTGTCTGCCTAATATCTGTTGATACTGCTCCTTCAACAGACATTTAAAGTGTGACCCATAATAACAACTAAAAAGTACAAATCTGTAGTATCTTAAAGGTACAAAAGTGTTCTCTTAAAAGTACAAAACTGTGCCTTAGATAAAAACATGCCCTTGTTATGTATATATACATTTACTTTTTGAAAACGTACCACCCCAGAGATATGTTTTTATTTTTGTACCTTTATTTCTAAGAGCGTATGGCTATTGGTAAGTTTGGTATTTTTTCTGCCCCTTCTCAACTGTGATTGGACAACTGGGTAAAAAGTGCCAATAAGTAGTACTGTAGTAGTAATAAGTAGTACCCAAAGCTGAGCAAATATTGGTGACCAGAAAATAATGAAGCAGATGCTCATTTTTTATTTAAACAAAGCTAGCTGCTGACAGAAATATTTGGTGAACTCACTGCCTTAATGCATTTTTAATTAACTTAAAATAGTGTCTTTTAGTAGAATAAAGAAAAACTCACCTGATTACTTCCTGTATCATGGGCTTGACCTGATGTCTTTATTCTGTTGTAAAACAAATTAAAATAAAAAAAATAATAAGACCCATACTGTAAAAACACAACTCTATTATTAATACTGTTTACATTTACTGCATACAGTAAAAACTTTCTTTACCTCAAATAGTAAAAACATACTGCAGACAACAGAATTAAAGTGAAAAGCCCTCCTGTACAGCCATAAATGACAAGATGAGATGATTCTAAAACAACACAATGGGGTTACTTAGTAGTGTGTTTGAAACAATATGAACCAATCCATAATACAACTGCAGGCCCCTAGCCAGCCTGGTGAAAGGGGTAGTTCTTTTTTTTTTTTTTTTTTTTTTTAAAGTGGACCTTTTTGCAGTTATACGCCTCATTTTTTATTTAATTATGCGACTTAAATACTGCATTTTAGTGATATTTTAAGCACTGTTTTTAGTTGGATTAGCTTGTCGGATGGTCATAATAACCACACTTTTTGATGTGTTAAAATTATTTACTAAAGATTTAAAATAAATAAATATGAAAAATGCTTATTTTTAAAATACAAATATTATATCATATATTAATGGAAAAATAGTAATCTGTTAAAGTTTTAAATTAAAAACCGTAGTCTATTGTCATTTTTAAGGCAAATAACAAGCTGGGGTGCGTTTCTCAAACAATGACGTAACTCACGGCTGAACTTTCTTAGTACGATTCATCGTTTGGGAAAAGAACGATGTAGTGATGAGTGTTTCCCAAAACCCCTAGTTTCTCTGCCGCAGATCCATCTCTTGAACTATGTTAGTTATAACATAAAACACCCATAATGATGCTCTAAACAGGGTGGAGTAACAACTTCTTTAGAGAAGAACCTCATCATTTATTTGTGCAAATTTTATTGTTTTTTACGCAAACACACATTTACAATAAAATCCTATATTAGTTTTGGTAAAAACATGCAATCATTTTCCATATTAATTGAAATATATTTAAATGGCACATATGGGGCCTGTGTTTGCTTTACTAACATTATTGAGAAGTTAAACATTACATATTCTATTCTAAAGCATAAAATCACTTACAAAAGATAACACTACTCTAATATCATATATAAATCATATAAAAAATAATAGGTTATTGTATTTTTTTTTTTGGAAAAGACACATGCATACCACAGCAGAAAGTTCAAACCAACAAGCCTGTGTTATATACAGTACAGATACTTAATAAATAACCCAAAGAATTAAAGTGTGCTATTTTTTTCTTTTCACAAGCTTTGGAGACATAACAAAAATTCTGCTTATAAATAATAGGTCACGTATGGCTTTTGCCATGAGGCTATGTTCAAAATGATATCAATGTTTTCAAAGTGCACTGCGAAGGAAGTACAATTGTAAACATAAAGATCGCTAAAATTAAACAGTAAAAATACTTTGAAAGCAAATTACAACTAAGAGAGAAGGCTTTAATGCTTTTTTATTTTTAATAATTCCAACTTTGAATGTTAGAATGTTCTAAATGAATAGGGCATAGGGTGGATAAGTGGAAATAGAACATAGCCAGGAACTATATTTCTAACTACAGCTCCAGAGGTGTAGTTTCAAGTGCTCAAGTTTGCGACACAGTTTACGAATGTTCGTTGGAGCGATGGATTTGGGAAATGGCAAATCAACTATGTTTGTAACAATGGAACATGCAACCTTAGTTGGCTAACGATGGTTTTGGGAAACGCACCCCTGGCCAGCACATTCAACTGTCCTCAGTCAAAATTTGGCCATTTGAAAAATTAATGAAAACATAATAATAATAATAATAATAGTAATAATAATAGTAATAATAATAATAATAATATTAATAAAATTGTAGAGCTCCAGGATTTTTCTAGCCTCTCTTGTAAAAAAAAAAGTACATTAGAAAATTCATGGATAACAACAATAGCCAAAATAGTATTTAAATTCATTTTAATATGGTCCGATTTTGGTGCTTCACCTTTGGTCATTTTTTGTTTTAAGAATACGGTCCAAAACTTAGAATAAAAGAAACCTGTAAAATGTTTTCTCTGTTTAAAAACAATATAGTGGCAAAAGACTTAACTTATGTTACGTCAGATTGTAAAATGAAAATATTTGTTAGCATTGGCCAAAACTGATTAGCTGAAGTCTCACAAAAGCGGGAGCCAACAGAGGATTCCACTTGGTCTTTAAGCCTTTTTCCATGGGTTATTTTCGCTATTTATGATGGCATAGCAGTTTAAAATTGGACAAATGAGCTCATGTGTGGGACAAATTCTGGACCTTTGTCAGTGAGGGGTCGGTCTTCCCAATCACTTAAACCCCCCTGGCTATGGGCCTGATCTGAATATTAAAATACAAAAGCCGGAACTTTGTTTACCTTCAGATGTAAGCTGTATGTTTTTTGGTCTGGATGACTGGTTTCCATGTTTATTTTGTGCAGTGCACAAGTAGAATCCTGTATCATTCTGAGAAACAGTGAAAGTAATCTTCTTTTCTCGAGCAATTGCCGTGTCTTTTCCCAGTTTGTACCAGGTGTAGGTCATATTATTTGATGGACTGCCTTTGCTTTTGCAGGTCAAAGTCACATTAGTGCCAACAGAAACTGAAGCAGATGGACTGATGGTGATATGAGTTTCTTTTGGAGGAACTTTGACAGAAACACGAGAGCAAAGTTAATGTTAATATATCGATCTATTTATTTCATCACATCAAAGATTATAAGAAACAAACAAAAAAATCTCTTACACAGGACTAGTAGCGTCACGTTGGTTTCCACAGTTGAGTCATTAGCAGTTTCTCTTGTATATGTAACAGTGCAGTAGATGTTCTTTTTGTGATCTCTGTATGAAGCTTTGAAGGTCATGAGTGAAAACACTGACTGGGTTTTATCAGGTTTCTCCAGTAACTGTGTTGTAATGCTGGCAGATTCAGGGATGTTAGACCAGGACACATTAGGAGGTTGTTTTGGGCAGGGGGCTTCAGCAGAGCAATTTAGATTTACTGTACTTTCCTCCATCACATACGGTAGATTATTGGGTTTAAGTTCAGGTTGTTGTGGAAAATCTACAGAATAAATTATTGTAATGAAAAAAAAAATCATAGATAGGCCTACTTATTACATAATAATCACATTTGCATTAATGGTAACATTTAATTTTGTTGGTATGTTTGAGTACTAGAGTGTCTACATAATATCTGTTAATACTGCTGCTAAACAGGCATTTAACTGACGATAAGAAACTTTACAAGTACATGTCAACTTACACTAACCCTAACCTAACTGTCTACTTATAATCTATATCTTATTTGATACAGTGCCCCTATTATATTTATACTGTGTCTATATGTACATTATTATTATATTTAAAAGTATCTGTATTGTACTATCAATTAAGCATATCTCATGTCAGCATGCACATATTTAAAGACACTTAATATAAATCTGAACATTTGGTGTACAGTAGACAGTGGAGATGACATTTACCTCTGACACTGATCCTCACAGGTTGATTGTTAAATGTTGCTTTAAACACCTCTGGCTTTGTTTCCAGTCTGAAGTAGTAATTATCTGAGTGGTTCATCATGATGTTGTAGAAGACAGTGGTGCAGTTCCTCTCACTGAGATTTCCAGTTATCTGTATGTCACTGAATCCTCTAATGATGTTGTTACTGCTATTAAAAGCTATAAAACTGTCTGTGTTTCCATACTGCGGTATCTTTTTTAGCCAGAGGCCATAAAAAGACTTAACTGTCTTTTTAAGTTTGTCTTCAAAATCGGAGGTGTTGAATGTACAGGGAATCTGCACACAAGAGCCTGTCAGAGCTGTTACTGTGTGCGGCATCACAGCAGAATACTGAACATCAGCTGAAACATAAAAACACATTAGACACAACAGAGACATGAAGGAATTAGCACTTGGTTTTAAACCGACATCAATACATATTATAATTATTTACATATTTGTTAATAATAAGAAGTAATAGTAAAAAATAACCTACCTAGTTGAGTATGTAGCAATAAAGAACTGATGAAAATGAAGGATCCAATCTGGTTTCCTGCCATTTGTTGAGTGGACAGCACTGGACATTACAGTTGTCACAAATTAGTCTAAAACACCATAACAGTTTACTTACTCTCCATACAACAGAAATACATGTGTAATGAAGATTCAACCTCAGCTCATTGTTTTTTTTATACATTTTAAATTGTTGCTACAGAATGAGCCACTGTTCAATCCAGTCTACTTTGATTATGCTTACTTATTTAATTCATCGACATTAAACTTTTACACTATATAATCTATACACTAATAATCTAACTGATGTCACGTGAAAGACATTTTTGTATTAAATTCTACTCTATCTGTATCTTACTGTTGTTAATTATTATAGTAAAACATATGCATTTAATTATACATATTTACTATAATAACATATGTAGTCATACTAGTTACAGATAAATTTTTATTTACATATTTGTATTTGTATGCATGTCTCCATTTTACACCAAATTATTACTGTTATGCTCAAAACTGCAGCTCTAATTAAAGTATTTTGTAAGATCTATTACTGGAATCAGTAACTTGAATCAGTAAAATTCACAGAAATTTACTGTCATTTGAAAAGCCGTACAAGTAACTCAGGCTCTTAACTTTAAAGCATCTCCCAAAAGAGCTCTCATCAATAAATAAAATAAATAAAAATGATTTATCATCTGTGAAAGAATAGAGTGAAATCTTACCTCAGAAAAGGGATTTAACTTGAAAGAAGTGACTAAAACTGTCTTTCTACAACAGTCTTTTAGCAAGTTTGATGACACAACATCCATATCCTCAATGAAATGTCATCATACAGGAAGAGACTTGTAGGAACAAGAGACATCATGAGGTTGAAAATAAGCTGTTTTTGTGTTCTACTTAAAGTTGTTGCTGGGCTGTTTGCCTTATTAATACCCACTCAGAAATTATGAGTAATAAACATCAGATGACATTCGAAAGACAAAAAGTGTGTGCAAAGTGAAAAGTAAAGAAGACATGAGTGTTGATGTTTCTGAAGAATTAATGTTAATATATAAGTACGTGAATATAATAGAATGAGAATTTTTAAGCAAGTTAAAAGAATGCTCAAGACAGAGTTATCTAGAGCCAAAATGGCTGAGTAAGTTTAAAGCACTGACTTCAAACTCAGTTTATGTGAATCAAGATTAATATACACTTGAAAATGGAATTCAATGTTTATGATTAAGTAAGGGAAATAGATTTGTGATGAATGTGCTTAATACTGTTGTTGAGAAAGCCTTTATTCAGTGGAATGTGTGTGTGTGTGTATTGAAATTTGGTCAGCTCAGTGTGTTATTTGAAACTCTATACAGACAAAACATTAGGCAAAAATATACGTCACCTTGCAGGGACCTACTTGTCAAAAAGCACTAACATTTTTTTCTATTTCTTCTTCTTTTTTTTATTGTCATTGCATGTTGGAAATGTATTGTAGTTGTGAAACACTTTTAAAACCAAATAGTTTAATATTTCTTTAAAATTTTAACATATGGTCAAAACTTTAAGCAAGAATTATATTGTTTGTTCAGTGCTAATTGTACAAGACACAGAAATATTACTTCAAGTAAACAAACAGCCTGTGCTTGCAAGAAAATACGGCAGTTTAATTTTGTTTTAAGCTTAGCTATTTACTTCTTATCTGCAGGAAGGTGAGCTCAGTTTCAGTTACAACCCTGAAAAACAACCACCCGTTGTGCAGTTCATCACTCAACTCAACAAAAAAAAGCATGAGGTCAACAAATCCAACTCTTTAATAGAAATTTTTTCAGCCAAATATATTTTTGTTGCCTAAAAAGGCAGACTACTGGAACAAGGTAACGCGAGAACCCATGACTAATTAACGTGAGACCCTACAGGACCTGATGCGAGATTCAAAATCGCGAAAATTCAAAATGCTAGACAGCAAACAACTCCGTAGACTTTTTTCCCTTTTATTTCCACTGTTCTCCGTGAGTTTCACCCATGCAAAATTGGACTACATCAGTGCAACTGGACTATACTTTTCTAATTTTTTCATCCTGGATCAACTTGAAGAATACATCAATGCACATTACAACACATACCGCTGCAACATGGATAAACCAGAGCACAATAAAAAAGATAATCCCGCTCCAAACTCCAAAAGATCTCGATCTGATTCTCTCTCAAACATGATTTCAACACCTTCCTCACCATCCTGTTGTACCAAGGTAAGCAAAATATCACGTTCAATTGAAAATTAACTCTCCGGACTCGATTCAAGAATCGCACTAATAGAAGTTATTCACAAGGAATTCCAAGAACTCTGTCACAGTCTAAAATTCTGCCAAGAATAGATAGAAACACTCCGTTCCCCAACAAAACAACAACCGACCTCGTCCAATCATTGCAAAATTTGAACACTACAAACACAAAGAACTGGTTCAAACACAAGGCAGACAACTTAAAGGTACAATATACAGTCTCAACGAACAATACCCAAAGGTCATTCTTGACCTTCGGAAACAACTCTTTCCAATCAGAAAACAGAAAATGAACGAAGGAAAACGAGCAATCATTACAGTAGACAAATTATACATGGAACAAAACACCTTTGATAATTGGTAATTAGGGTTGGGTGCTTATTTTAACAATGTCTGAGTGTAATTTGTTTTTACAAATAAATAAAAACATATTTTTACGATTTAGGTCATTAAAGACAATATTTAATAACTCTGATCCAGTAAAGCTGCATTATATTGAGTGGTGTCTGATACTTAATTTCTGAGCATAACAATATGGCAGGTAATGCCACAAAAGCTTTAAGATTTTGCATTCAAGTGAGATTCAAGTATTTTCATTAAAACAGCAACATGAACAATACTTTACAATAGATTAGAAACATCTCGGTTACTAATGTAACCCTCGTTCCCCGAAGAGGGAACAGAGACGTGTATCTGGAAGACACTTTGAGAGGATGCTAGCTGACCAATCACTCAGAGTAAGGAAACGGGCTAATGAATGCCAATAATTTGTCAGAGCTTGGCTCTGCAGGTGCCATTGATTAATCATTAGTAAAGTATAACTGGCGCATGCAGAGCAAGCAGTTACATTTTTAGCCTGCTGAAGAGCCGAACACTCAGCTATCAGCTTGAAACCCAGCTATGCGCATGCGTATGGAAATGCCTCAACAGCTAAGCTTGTCACGCCCCTGATGAGTTGTTTGGCAAGCTTAGCATGAACGTACAAACATCACCAAGGGCACAACATTCCACTGTCTTATAGGCCCTTTAATTACCATTACATGGGAATAAATTAGAAAGAATTTAGATAGGGGGTAATAAATGTGCTTTTACCTAGCTAATTGTAATCTAAGAATTTTTAAAATATAACAATATGTTGGGAAAGTGTGCCAGTCCCCAAAGCGGGAGGACACTGCAGAGGCCATCTGGTACCCAAGAGGGGAGACTTGATGGCAATAAGAACATATGGACTAGCCCTATTCAGGGGGAGTGCCACATGTGATAAGCTGATTAGCGGGTAAAGAAGACATGGGTCCTCCTGAGAAAGGGGGAACAGTCCGTCGCTGAATAAGCATATAGAATCGCCAACGAGGACAATGCAGAGCTGGCACTGAACCCCAGCATGCAGGTAGACATTTACATTTACATTTAGTCATTTAGCAGACGCTTTTATCCAAAGCGACTTACAAATGAGGACAAGGAAGCAATTTACACCACTAAGAGCAACAATGAATAAGTACTAAAGGCAAGTTTCAGGTCTGTAAAGTCTAAGAAGGGAAGTGTTAGTAATTTTTTTTTTTTTTTTTTTTTTTTTTTTTTTTTGTACAGTTAGTGTGATATTCAAATAGGCAATTGCAGATTAGGAAGTGAAGTGGAGACTAAATAGTTGAGTTTTTAGTCGTTTCTTGAAAATAGCGAGTGACTCTGCTGTTCTGATGCAGTTAGGGAGTTCATTCCACCAACTGGGCAGATTGAGCGTGAGCGTTCGCGAAAGTGATTTTTTTCCTCTTTGGGATGGAACCACGAGGCGACGTTCATTCACAGAACGCAAGTTTCTGGAGGGCACATAGATCTGCAGAAGTGAGTGCAGATAAGAAGGTGCTAGGCCAGAAGTCACTTTGTAGGCAAACATCAGAGTTTTGAATTTGATGCGAGCAGCAACTGGCAGCCAGTGCAAACGGACTAGCAGCGGAGTGACATGTGCTCGTTTAGGTTCATTGAAGACAACTCGTGCTGCTGCATTCTGGAGCAGTTGAAGAGGCTTGATAGAGTTAGCTGGAAGCCCAGCTAGTAGAGAGTTGCAGTAATCCAGTTTGGAGAGAACAAGAGCTTGAACAAGGAGTTGAGCTGCATGTTCAGATAAGAAGGGTCGGATCTTTCTGATGTTATAGAGTGCAAATCTGCACGATCGAGCAGTTCTAGAAATGTGGTCAGAGAAGTTTAGTTGGTCATCAATCGTTACTCCAAGGCTTTTCACCATTTTGGATGCAGTAATGGTTGCCCCATCCATCTGGATTGAAAAGTTATGGTGTAGAGTCGGGTTGGCAGAAACTACAAGCATTTCCGTTTTTGCGAGGTTCAGCTGAAGATGATGATCTTTCATCCAGTGTGAAATATCCAACAGGCAGGCTGAGATACGAGCTGGAACCGAGGGATCATCAGGATGAAAAGAGAGGTATAGCTGGGTATCATCAGCATAGCAGTGGTAGGAGAATCCATGTCTCTGGATGACTGGTCCTAGAGATGATGTGTAGATGGAGAAGAGAAGTGGCCCAAGAACAGAGCCTTGAGGTACCCCAGTGTTTAGATGCTGTAGGTTGGACACCTCTCCCCTCCAAGACACCCTGAATGACCTGTCAGAGAGGTAAGATCTGAACCATAGACCAAGCAGGCCTACCAGACATCATACTGGGCCAAGCACCCGGCTCCTCCACTGCGTCAGGTGCTGGGGGCCTTGGAAGAGCTCTTTAGAAATTGCCAAATGGGGAACTTACTGAACAAAGTAGAACATGGCGGGAACATGGCGCAACAAGTGTTTTTGACACCGAGCTTAGTTTCCTCCCGATTGACCAGGGTTACCCAGAAGATTATAAAATCTTGCGAATGTGTTAGGTATCACCCAGCCCACAGCTCAACAGAAATAAGAGAGGCGCCAGATGCTAATACCCAAGAGTAGGTGACACTTATTGTTGAGTGTGCTCTCACCCTCTGGGGTAATTCTAGGTACAATTCGTTGCTCGAAAATGCCTCCAGATCCCTAACTCTCTCAATCAATGCCAACACAACCAGCAGAGCTGTCTTCACGGACAGAATTCCTTTCCTTGGAGTGGTTAAAACGGATCTCTCTGCAGACCCACCAGGACTACAGAAAGATCCCAAGAGGGCGTGAGAGGGGGGCTGAATGGATTTAATCGTTGCACGCCCCAGAGGAAGTAGATGATAAGATTATGCTTTCCAAGCATGTTGCCATACACCACGTCATGGTGAGTGGAGATGGCAGCCACGTCAACCTTCAGTGTGAGAGGAGTGTGAGTTCGTAAACTTAGGTCTGGTTGGGCAAGAGAGGCGCAACTAAGACATGCTCTTTGTCCTCCCTGACTTTGCACAGTGTCTGTGCAAGTAGGCTCACTGGGGGAAACGCATATTTGCGCATGCTTGGGGGCCAGTTGTGAGCCAGCCTGTCCATGCCAAAGTGGGCTTCGGTCAGGGAATAAACCAACAGGATATGGGCATTTCCGGGAGAAGCACTTCTCTGAAGTGTTCCCCTATCAGCTGCACCATACCGGGGTGGA